TATATATATATATATATATATACAGATAGAAAACAGTTATTTTAAATTGGAATAATATTTCACAATTTTAACAGTATTTTTGATCAAATAAATGCATCCTTGTTGAGCAGAAGAGACTCTTTCAAAAACATTAAAACGTCTCGCCGACCCATATCTTTGGAATGCTTCTCTGTACTGTCATTTCACTAAAAGCAGCCCCAAAATATGTAAAAATATTAATGAAGATTGAATGTGACCTAATGGGTCACTGTCGGTTCCACCTCCCCCCTCACTGGCTGGATGTTTTCATCGTGATGGAGTTGGCAAATATCTCATTTCTGATGTGGTGACACCAGCCGAATACAAAGCACTGTGTACTGTCAGAACCCGAGTCGTCGCTCATTGATGTGCGAATGAAGACCAACACCAAGTCACATCTCTCACGGGGGAACGGCTCGTGATGAGGTTCAAACAGGTGGACAGACTGATAAAAAGGTTTCATTTATATGTAAATCAAAAGGGTGACCAATCAATTATTCTCATTTGAATAAACACTCCTGTCCCTTATGTCCCATTGGACCATCGATTCGACTCCTAATTCCAGTCATGGATCTGGCCCCCTTCAGCTGCAGATACAAACAGTGGAGTGTCCTCGTCTTTAGACCAGTTTGAACTGTGGCTCTATGACAAAAAACAGGCTGAACTATGCAAATTGAAAATCCATATCTGGACGAGGGCTCTGCAATTGCTGCATAAGATTAATTATTTGTCAGACGCTGTCGCCGTGTGGAAAAGTGCAAAAGGGTGAAAAATATCACTGATTTCACATCTAGCTGCCTGCATTTTTCAGTGTTTATTTATTTGGCATTGTCTTGTGGATTCAGTATATATATATATATACTGTATATGCGAGGAAATAAAAGGATGGCAGTATGTCACATAAATTTCCCTACCAAGTATTGAGTACATGTACAGTAAATGAGCATACTTTCGAGAAGGCCAACAATTCACTAAAAAAACCATTACTCATAACTAGGCCTATACTTGGTGTTTGTTTTTCAAGTCTTTTTTTTTTACTAGGGATGCACCCCTGTACTTGTACTCGTGTATAGCTGATGTGCACGAGCTGATACACAAAGCACGCTGAGTGGGTTGAGCGCGCAGCGGCGCAGATGCGCGAGCTTGTCGAGTGAATATATCTTTCTCACAGACATCACTGGAAAGTTTGTAGTTCGGTCGGATATGTCAAAAACAAGTAAGTAAAACAATGCACAAGTTACTTAACGGTAGGGAGAGAGCGAGAGAGAGAGAGAGAGAGAGCGCAATTCTGTTGTGTGATCTTTGATGTTCACTCACTTAGCACACGCATCATTTGAGTTAAAACTAAATCGTAAAAAATACCATTTATAGGGGCATTCACTATAAACATAATTTATTTTCAACCTTAGACATACACGACTTTCTGGCGAAAGTTAATCTAGCAGCCTGTGTGAAATGTGCTGGGCTGTACTGTTCTGCATCAGTACAAATACCTGCACGCGTTGCGCGTGTTTTGCTTGCTTGAGTGTTTCTGCATTATATGAGTGGTTTTGGAATATAAATCGCAGCACGTTTCAGATGAAAAAACGCGACTTCTATTTCTGAAAATATCAGTTAGGAGATTTATAGCGAGTGGTTCCCTGCATTATTACAGCAAAGCGCGTGATTACAGTACTAAGCCGCTGCAATGGAGCAGATCTAATGCTATTAAATTAAAGATGATGTACCACAGAGCAAAAAAATTAACAGTGAAAGTAACATAAATTTGTAAAATACATTTTAATGGGCATAATTAAGTGTGAAAATAACCGAGGGATATACAGTGAACCAAAAATGATTCAGACCAGATATAATTTTTGATATTTTTTTACTAGTGGGTGCAGGACACTATAGTTCATTTATGTAAGTGAGGATAGCAAAATAAAGTAAACTGTGACAAATCATATCCAAAAATTCTTCATACAGTGGACTACCAGTAAAACTGATACAAATCTGGGTCCAAAAATTATTCAGACCGAGTCTGGGAAAAAAAATTATGTTCAGGTTTGCATGACAGCATGCCCAGGACACTACAGGCTGTCATTAAGGCTAAAGGTTCCCCGACAAAGTATTCATAGTTGTGTAAATACTGTCATACTAACAGCTGTCTGAATAGTTTTTGGTTGATTGTAATCTATTACATACCTTTCTATCAAAGTTATCTAACATTATCAAGATTAATTTGTTCTGACACAGTTTAACTCTGAGTTCTTGTCATATTTTATTACCATTTTCTAAACTATAACGAATAAACTGATAATGTGAGAAATGTTGAAGGTGTCTGAATAAATTTTGGTTT